TGAGGGGACAATGGGGAAAAAGGGGATACATCTATAATACTCTCAAGGCATTGATTGGACTGTCGGGCCTTGGAGGGAAAGTAGGGGAAGGTGGGGGTAAGGGGGTGAGATCAACCAAAGGGTTTATATGCAAGCATATAGGCCTAACCAATGGACACGGATAACAGGGGGGTGAGGGCATGAGTGGGGGGTAGGGGATAATGTGGGGATAAGGACACATATGTAATATCTTAATCAATAAAAAATATATTTAAAAAAGAATCAAAAGAGAATTTTATTCTAACTTTGATATTATCTTTCTTCAAGGAAATGAATTACAATTCTTGAAAACAATAAAAATGAGATTAATCTATAGAGGTAGAATAGTGGTTAACCCTGGGGAGGAGAACGACTGATTAGAAAAAGGCATGAGGGTACTTTCGGGGGAGGGGGGATAAAAATGTTCTATATCTTAATTAGGGTATAGATTACATGGGTGTATGTATTTTTTAAGACTCATCCAACTATATACTTAATTTCTGTGAATTTTATTGTGTATAACTATACTTCAATAAAAAGGAAAAAGGAATCCCTAGCTGGGATTCCCTTGGCTCAGTGGATAGATCATCAGCCTTCAGACTGAAGGGTCCCAGGTTTGATTCCAGTCAAGGGTACATGCCAGGTTGTGGGCTCAATTCCCAGCAAAGGGCCAGGTTGTAGACTCAATCCTTCCTCTCAGAAAGCAGTAACATTTTTTTTAAAAAGGGATATTCCATTTCAAATATCCATGAACAGATAAATGATAAATCATTTTACACACACACACACACACACACACACACACACACAAATGGCAATAATGAAAATCAAGTAAGAAGCAAAAGATTTGAGTTCAGATCCTAGAAAGAACATTGGCTAGGTATGTGACCTTCTACATGACACTTGCCCTTTTGGGTGTTCAGATTGTTTTATAAAGCATAACATTTGGACCATGGGGTCATTAAAAAAAAAACTTTAGAAAGAAAACAATGATACAACCAACACTTATTCTTTCCTCCCTACACTAATGGGGGTCATACTTTTCTTTCATAATGGGGGTGCATCAGAATCACGGCCCTTCTCACTCCTCCAGAACATCTCTGTATCTGATGCCACCATAAGGGGAGCTGGGAGTCCCAAGGAAGAAGGAAAAAAGTAAAAGATGTACCCAAGGCTTGGTTCAGTAAATCAGTAGAAAAGCAGCAAACATTTTTCCCAGAGTTAGGGAACTAAAATGGGAAAAGACAAGCCAGGTAAGTGTGGATTCACTGCCAGTGACAACAAAACCAACTGTGGGCTCTTAGAAAATGTCCCATGTGCGTGGCTCACTGAAGACTCCTACTGCCTGGAAGGGAGTCTCCATGGAGAGAAGGGTGGCCAGGGGCAGTGAGTGAGCCTTTCTAGCACTGAGGCTGACAGCCAGCGTTCCCTCCAGCCCAAAGGACAAGAGGACAACACCAGCAACTCTTGCCCCAAAAGTTCTTTCACATCTGCCTCAGAAGTACCAATACCCTCTATTGACTGAAGGGATTCTCATTCTGAAGAAAAGAACTCACAATGTATCAACTTCTTACCTCTCTCCGCATCTTTGTGTACGGATCATCTGGACACTTTCCCGGGGGGTTTAATTTGACTCCTATTTTCCTCAAGAAGTTTTTTGTGAATGGATTACAGTCATAAATCTTGAAAGTCCGGGCATAAAAGACAACATCTATGTTGATATTGAAATCAAATACAGTATAAAACTTTTCAACATTAGGAGGTGGGAGAGGAATCCGGTGACGCCGGATAAAAGTCCCTGTGGTGTGAAATAAAATACAATTGTTTCATCATGCAGCTAACAAGGAAGAGGTCACAGCACATATCAGTAACAACCCCAAATGCTTTCCTACAACACTGATCTGGGCAAAGGGCTGCTTCTTAGAGGCAGCATTAGTATGTTCAAACTCTGAGGAAGCCAGAAGAAGCTGAGACTTCTGAGGTCCAGAGTTATTTGACCAGTCTTACCTATAATTAGAATTGCCTAAGTGGTACTAGGGAAGTACTTTAATAAACCATGAAGACTAGGGTAGGATGGGAGAGGCAGGCATAAAAAGTGAACTAATACACCAGACACTGCCACCATGTCTTTTCCCAGAACCAGCATGGTCACTTTCACCCAATGTGAGCACACTAAAAAAGGCACTAAGAGTCGCCATGGCAACAGCTTGCGATGATGCCTTTTTCTTCCCAGTTTCTGGGTGTCCCTTCAGGTCTTGTGTTCTAAGATGTGAGAAAGGAAGGGTGTGGAAGGTCTCTGATATGACACTGTGGAGGAAGGAAGAGACAACAACTTTGACGGTATGAGCACCGACCACCTTAAAATGGCAGTTACTGGAAGAAATCCACTTGAACTGAGTTGGAGGATGCTGCATGGGCCTCCCATGCTGGGTGTAGGGTTCACGTCCTCACCAACTGAGGGCCTGCATCTGTGTGTACCCTGCCATTCAGTGCTGAAGCCACTGAAGTTGATGTGACATCAGCAGTGTGATTAATGACAGATTTCTTAACTCTAAGATTGCTATACAAATTATCTGATACCTCTTGTGGTTGTTGCCAGGATTGAGTAAAATGCATGTAAACCTCTTAGCATTTAGTTTATAATAAGCATTCAGTGGAAGTTAGCTGCTGCCATTGCTATTGTTCTGTTCACTTATTCACTATAGTATCTTAAACACTTAGCACAATGCTTTGAACACAATAGGCATTCAAAAGTATGTGTTGATATACTCTGGTTTCTTTTCAGACCATATAAATCTTCCACCTTTTACAAAACTATGTGTTGAATAATTCTGTCATCATTTCAAAAACCAAAGCAATAAGACCCCAAAGCAGATTGCTTACACAAAATGCATACTCTTGGCTCAAAAATATAAGCTAATAAGCTGCATTATAGTAGGTGACAACATTATGATTTACAGTTCCTATAGCATAAATGACTTTATGCTGCTTTGAAGCTTTGTAGAATCTTCTTTCCTCTACCACCCTCTTTTCTCTTCTTCCTCTATAGCAGTGGTTGGCAAACTGCGGCTCGTGAGCCACATGCGGCTCTTTGGCCCCTTGAGTGTGGCTCTTCCACAAAATACCACATGCGGGTGCACACGTACAGTGTGATTGAAACTTCATGGCCCATGCACAGAAGTCGGTATTTTGTGGAAGAGCCACACTCAAGGTGCCAAAGAGCCGCATGTGGCTTGCGAGACGCAGTTTGCCGACCACTGCTCTATAGCCTCTATCCACCTCCACCCAACGATACCGACAAAATGGGCATTATCATAAGCTCCATAGTTTTAGACAGTGCTCTGGGACAAAGGTTCTGATCTCATCCCATATTTTACTTCCAACCCTATAATGCCCATTCACTTCTTCTCTTGAGAATATGGGCCCCAAACGCTAAGTACACTCAAAATGGTGGTTTGCCACTGGATTCCCTTCCTAGATTAGGGCACCAACAACACCATATCATACCAGGAAACTTACCCAAACACTGCTGAAACCTGCTGTCAAGAACTGTTTACAGTTTGCAATTTTATCCTACTTGCAAGCTAATGAGTTAGCCTGCCAAACATTCATAAATGTGGGCAGAAGACACAAGATGCTTTAGTTATAAACAAAGAACAGTTTATTAACAGCAATACTAGTAGTAAAAACATCAGCGCTTGGAGAGGGGGAAAATGGCGGAGGTATAAAGGGACGTGTCCTGTGCCTTCTCCTGGAGCAGATAAGGGTGAGCAGCTGAAACG